GATTTTATCTGAAACTTAAATTTGACAACTTAATCATAATCAGGAGGTCAAAATTATAAAGAAAACATGTCGGTTTAGGTTTAGTATTCTTAAATTTTCACCAAAATGTTATTTTGAAAAAGTGGTCTTTGCTTAGGCCCTCTGAAAATAATGGAAGTTTGTTGCTTGTCGCTTGTTCATAATTATTTAAGGAACATTCTTTCACCATCTTATCTTCTTGTTCCAGGTGGATGCCATTTATACTGACTTTTCCAGGGCGTTTGTCAGAGATAATCATATCATATTGTTGTCCAAGCTTGATGCACTGGGTATACGCGGTACTTTCTTGAATTGGATTTCTAATTATTTATCCGATCGTTATCAAACTGTTCTAATTGATAATTGTTACCAGTCCAGACCTATTCTTGTTTCCTATGGAGTTCCTTAAGGTGGGCATTTGTCACCTCTATTATTCAACTGTTTTATTAATGATATTAATTTAAATTTAAAGTAATGCAAATGCCTTCTATTTGCGGATGATTTGAAAATGTTTTTTGAAATTAAATCACTTAATGATTGTGGTAAGTTGCAGTCTGACTTGAACAGTCTAAATTCATGGTGCGAGTTGAATTGTATGGAACTTAATATTAAAAAATGCAAGGTTATTAATTTTTATAGGAACAAAAATCCATTGTTTTTTTGCTATGTTATTGATAACAATGTTTTAGAGGTTGTGAACTCAATTAAAGATCTTGGAGTGCTGTTTGATAATCGGCTTACCTTTAGTGATCATGTTAACTTAATTATTAATAAGTCTATCGTATGTTAGGCTTTGTCAGACGACTTCAGGACTTGCTTTAAAAATTTTTTTTTATTTCATATATACGTTCAATTTTAGAGTTTAACTGTGTAGTGTGGTCACCGCACTATAATGTTTATGTAACTGCCTTAGAACGTGTCCAAGATAGGTTTCTTCGCCTTTGTGCATTTAAACTCAACATAAGAGTTGATAATATTAATTATAGATAACTGAGACTGTTGGTAGGTCTCCAACCACTATCGATTATTTATAAAATACTCAATAACCTTATAAACAGCTCAGAATTGCTGTATAGCATTCGTTTGTCTGTGCCACAAACTAGACATACCCCATTATTCTTCATTAATATGCACAGAACTAATTATGGTTACTATTCTCCGATCGATAGATTGGCAGATTGGCGAACAACTTTGAGCTAAATTTTTTTCTTTGAACTTAGTTCAATTCAAGAAACAACTTAGGCTAAAAATTAGTGTATAGTACCTATAGTATTACTGCTGAATTTGTGACTTAAACCTATAACAATTGTTATTCTTATTATTATATTTTATGGTTTTCTTTTACCGTTAATAAAGAAATTATTATTATTATTATTATTATTATTTCTAAAAAGACTGAGTTTATTGCCTACAAAAAAGCCTTAAATGTACTCCTTTGGAAAAAATCACATTTTCGTTGCTATTCCTATCCGTTTCCTATTCGAAAAATTTGAAAATTGTTTCAAGGTAAGACATATAAGACATAATACTTCATTATATCAAAGTAAAAACGAGAAAAAATTATTTTTTATACAAACGGGGTTGGATGAAGTTATTGACATTTTTCACCGTTTAACATATCACCCTGTAGGAAATTTACTTGAAGAACCGTGAGCTTCATATCTATAGCATATATTGCCAGAGGATGAGGCTAGCAGACAACACAGACCAAAATAAAATAGTTCAAGAAACATAAAAGTTATGTCGTTTTGAAAAAGAACGAACTTTTTGGTCGCGACACATTGAGTGGTGCGCAGTTTATATTGATATTAACCATAATAATCAAATTTATAAATGATATTCCACAATTTACACAATGTACAGATTTAACAGTCTTGCATGTCAACTTAAATTTAAAATCTGAAATTATGCACATTTAATAACGGTTGTCGTGGATTACAAATTAAATAAAACAGTTTGCCTCAAAAAATCTCGTGTTTAGATTACAAAGAGTGGCATTGTTTAACGTGTGATTGGATCAGTTGGGATTCGATCCACTCCGCTAATCGAAAATGCACCGATAAAAATCCCATTGCGGTCTGCGCCAATGGACGAGAAAAGCTTGTTGAAAAAAGTTCCACACCGAAATGCAGAAAGTAATAAAATACTTTCTCTTCTTACATACTTAATGTATTGTATGCATCTCTTAAGGATGTTAAAGAAAACAAACAATATTTAAAATAAACTATTTAATTTTTCTTAACTTTCACAACATTCTTCTTTAACTTGCCACACAAATACCTAAAACATCTTTTCACAACTAAACACAATCCAACGAAAAACAACAAAATATAAAAGTAAACATCCAACATATCCCTTTCGTACCACATCAAACTTAACGCAGGCGATTTCAAGTGTTCAGCTCCTTTGTATTTAATAACATGTTCAATCCAGTATATGGCGGTCTCCATGGGGGTCATAGGCTGATCGAGGAGAATGACCTGCCTGGACTTCACATTTTTCTCGAATTCTGGATTGTAAAGTATTTGGTTGACAGACGAAAACAAGGTATTTTCGTTAAGCTCCCTTAAAGGCAAATTTAAAGCAAAACCATTGTGGACCGCATTTTTGATGTTTTGTTCTTGATCCCAAAACACTGGAATACCCAGGATTGGTACGCCGTGGTAAACTGCTTCTATAACGCTTAGAAGACCACCATGAGAGATGAACAGTTTTACGTTGGGGTGAGCTAAAAAACAATGCGTTAATAGCTAAAAACTAGAAAATAGTTGGCATGCTCTTACCTAAGACGTCATTTTGTGGAAGCCAATTGACAATCCTAACATTTTTGGGTTTCCCAGGTAAATCGGTTTCTAACTTCCACAAAACCTTTTGCTGTAGCTTTCCAAATGTCCTCAAAATAGACTGTTTTAAATGATTTGGTAACATAGATCCATTAAGATTGGAACCCATTGAAAAAACCACCACGCCTTCCTTGGCGTCATCCAGATAGCCTTGCAGATCTTTAGGTAAATCTTTGGGTTTGCTGATATGATAACCTCCGATTTCTTTTACGGAGGGCAATAAAGGTGCTGGGCTGTGTATGCTGCTATGTGATGTGGTTAAAATAAGGCTAACATTGTGAATTAACTGCCTTATATCGGGTGCACCAGGGAAAGTACTTTGAAGTATCTTGTTTTGGCCTGGTATAAACTTGAAGTTCAACAATAGTTCTCCCAGTGTATCATAGTATAAATTCTTTATTCTTTCTATAAAGTTCATGTTGGAACCAAATCTCGAACCAATATTAGGGATATATGATGAAGGTGAAGGATTACCAACAAAATAATTGCTCAGATAGGTCATAGGTCCAGGGGCTAAGAGAATGTTTGGTGCGTTAAAATGATAACCAAAACCCAAAAAGGCATCATTCACAAAATTTTCTATGATTACAAGATCAAAATTTTCGTTTTCTTTAAGAAGGTTTTTTACTTTTTCTAGGTTGAGTATGGTTTTTGTATGCTCTATTCCTAATTCCATTACGAAATTGTTATGCTCCCAAAATGAGGCTTCGTGCAGATCAAACAAGGCCTTTTTGAAATCTAAAAATAAAATAATTTGCTGTTTTGATTTTTATGACACAAACTGTTTTATTTGATTTGTTTCCATGACAACCGTTAATAAATGTTTCAAATTTTAAATTTAAGTCGACATGTAAAAATGCAAAATCTATTTACTTTGTAAATTGTCGAAAATATACAAATCTTGAGCTCAATACATTAAAGTCAAAATTTTAAAATTTTTGCAGATGGTCAAATAAAGCTCGTTAAGCACTACTCTCTTAAAATGAATCTAAAAGTAACTATTTCATTTTAAGAGAGTAGGTCCCAAAAAATATAATAAAATTGTTAAAGATTCTTTATTTTTCTACGAATTCATTAGTCAGTTTTTTGAATGTTTTATTAATATAGTTTTTGGTATAACTTTTTTTTTAATTCTTGGAGTATTTATAATTTTTAGGATTTCTATCTACAACTCTTAGTTTTTTAGTATTTTGAAATTATTTAGATTTGTTTAAGGCTTTTCTTTTAGTACGTTCAATTCTTTGTTTCGCAAGGGTTTCATTATAAAGCTTAATTAAATTATGGTGAATAAGAATTTTGAATACTTTGAATAATTAAATAAACTAAAGTAAATTGTTTTGCATATTAATAAAATAATAACAAAGGATACTTGAGTTTCTCGGTTTCAAAAACCAACCACTTCGCTTACCGGAGTTATCTGGAATAGCTTTTTTCAACGAAACCTCTCTTAGATTTTTTATGGGATTTTTTTGTTGAAAGGCGCTAATAAAAGTGACCTCGTGACCTCTGCTAACCAATTCCTTCATTAAAGTAATTCCCAATGTGTAGTGGCTATGGGAGGGCATGGGAAAAACGCCCAAAATTTTCGCACTTTTCACATTACAAATCGAAAAACTCAAACACAGCGCAAAACTAATAGTCAACAATTTCATGTTGCGAATGTGTAACAAATAATTACTGATATGGTATTAATTTAAGATATACTTGAATATAATATATGCACAATATTTACATAAAAATCAAATGTTTAGAATTTATTATGTAGATATAGATAAACTTTGTTTTTTAATACGAACTAAATACAGAGTGAATAAAAGGCAGAAATAAATGTTAATATTAATGGTAACTTCCCAAAAATATTCTAATGGTGACAAATCACGGCTTCTAGGACAGTTGCTTATTCTTGCCTCAGAGCGTATACGTCTTAATAAAGTACACCATGAATTATGTCGAGCATAAATTTCATAAATCATATATTTAAATGTAGAAAGTATGTGTTCCACCTATACAAATTAAAGTAATTACTACGAATTAATGCCATAATTTAAATTTGTATAATTTTTATATTATGATGTAAAAAATTTAAATGAAATATAGATAGGGTTGGTTAATAGGTCCTTAAAAAAAAAGCGCGTAAGAATGGGAATCTGTATTACCGGCGCGCCGCGGCGGTCAAATGTCTAATTTTTCTGTGTAAATCGAAATTTAACCCTTTAACCGTTTAAATCCGATATAGAAGCAGTTTCTCACAGTCTAACATAAGACCATGCCTCCGGCGAAGTATAAATGCATCGCTCAAACGCTTTGCCACAAAAAAGTCCTACACCCAAATGCAGAAATAATAAAATACATTCTCTTCTTACATACTGATTGTATTGTATACATCTCTAAAGGATGTTAAAGAAAACAAACTATATTTAAAATAAAGGACTTAATTTTTTTTAACTTTCACAACGTTCTTCTTGGACTTGCAACTACACAAATACCTAAAACATTTTTTCACAACTAAACACAATCCGACGAAAAACAACAAAATATAAAAGTAAACATCCAACATATCCCTTTCGTACCACATCAACCTTAACGCAGGCGATTTCAAGTGTTCAGCTCCTTTGTATTTAATAACATGTTCAATCCAGTATATGGCGGTCTCCATGGGGGTCATAGGCTGATCGAGGAGAATAGCTTGCCTGGATTTGACATTTTTCTCGAATTCTGGAGTGTACAATATATGGTGGATAGACGAAAACAATGTATTTTCGTTAAGCTCCCTCAAAGGCAAATTTAAAGCAAAACCATTGTGGACTGCATTTTTGATGTTTTGTTCTTGATCCCAAAATACTGGAATACCCAGGATTGGTACGCCATGGTAAACTGCTTCTATAACGCTTAGAATACCACCATGAGAGATTAACAGTTTTACGTTGGGGTGAGCTAAAAAACAATGCATTAATAGCTAAAAACTAGAAAATAGTCAGCATGCTCTTACCTAAGACGTCATTTTGTGGAAGCCAATCGACAATCTTAACATTTTTGGGCTTCCCAGGTAAATCGGTCTCTAATTTCCATAAAACCTTTTGCTGTAGCTTTCCAAAAGTCCTCAAAATAGACTGTTTTAAATGATTTGGTAACATGGATGCATTTAGACTGGAACCCATTGAAAAAACCACCACGCCTTCCTTGGCGTCATCCAGATAGCGTTGTAGATCTTCAGGTAAATCTTTTGGTTTGCTGATGTGATAACCTCCGATTTCTTTTACAGAGGACATTAAAGGTGCTGGGCTGTTTATGCTGCTATGTGATGTGGTTAAAATTAGGCTAACATTGTGTATTAACTCTCTTATATCGGGTGCACCAGGGAAAGTACTTTGAAGTATCTCGTTGTGGCCTGGTATTAACTTAAAATTCAACAAAATTTCTCCCAGTGTATTATAGTATAGATTCTTTATTCTCTCTATCAAGTTCATGTTGGGACCAAATCTCGAACTAATATTAGGGATGTATGCTGAAGGTGAAGGATTACCAACAAAATAATTGTTCAGATAGGTCATAGGTCCAGGGGCCAAAAGAATGTTTGGTGCGTTAAAATGATAACCGAAACCCAAATAGGCATCATTTACGAGATTTTCTATTATTACAAGGTCAAAACGTTCGTTTTGTTTAAGTAGGTTTCGTACTTTTTCTAGATTAAGTATGTTTTTTGTTTGATCTATTCCCATTTTTATTATTAAATTGTTTTGCTCCAAAAATGAGGCTTCGTGCAGATGAAACAAGAACTTTTTGTAATCTAAAAATAATAAAATTTGCTAATTAATTGTTTCCACCTATACTTGATGAAACCCCATACAAAAATACAAAATACAATATTAAAAACGTTTTTTCTAACACTAAATTGTTGCTTTGCAAAATAATAATCTTTTTGTACGTTGATTATTAAAACAATAATCACAAAGGATACTTGTCTTTTGGTTTTAAATAACAACAAATCTTTTTAATACAAATTTCGCTTACCATTTTCTGGAATAGCTTCTTCCAAAGAAACCTCTCTCAGATTTTTTATGGGATTTTTTTGTTGATAGGCGCTAATAAAAGTGACCTCGTGACCTCTGCTCACCAATTCCTTCATTAATGTAATTCCCAATGTGTAGTGGCTATGGGCGTGCATGGGAAAAACGCCCAAAATTTTCGCACTTTTTACATTGCAAATCGAAAAACTTAAACACAGTGCAAAACAAATACTCAGCAATTTCATGATACAAATGTGTTACAAATAATGCATACATTACCAATATGGTGTTAATTTAAGATATACCTACTTGAATATAATAAATGCACAATATTTACATAAAAACCAAATGTTTTGAATTTATTGTAATAATTGTATAGATATAGATAAATATGTAGATATAAAAAACAATTTTGTTGTAAAGTTTCACGAAATTTATTAAATTTTGACAGCTGTTTCGCTACACAGTAGCTTCATCAGAATGTATTAAAACTAAAGATTGTACAAAATATATATAACAAAAAATATTGGTATTCTAGGTAAGGATAATCATTTAACTACGGTTTCGCGAAAGGATCGAACGGTCGATTTGCAAGGGTTCAAGAAATCGATTGAAACTTTTTTACCATAATTCTACATGTAAATGCAGTACTTTTTTCAAAAAAAAAATCTCCTCCATTGACAACTTTGTTTTTATATTTATTTTTTCCTTCATTGTGTTAAAAATGAAGACATTTTATTTTTTGTAAATAACTTTTTTATTTCAAAACGTATCGATTTGAAATTTGGACAAAATGTAGATCTTACTAATGACAATTCTTCCATTTAAAAATTTTGTTTAGATTGTAACGTACAGGGGGCGCTGGTGACAATTTAATTTAAAATTTAACAATTTTTAAAGGGTAAATAATCGAAGAAGCAACATAGTTTTATAAATTTGAGTATAACACGTTAAAGTATTGATATTTGACTATTATTTGATATATTAACTTTTTTATGCAAATGATGTTTCTGTGGCCAGGATGAGTTTTGAATTAGCAGTAGCAGTATTCATAAATGTTTAGTTTGGTACATTTTGTCATTTGTATACTAATATTGTTGTATCTTTTACTAATAATTAAGTATAGCATAACACATATATTTATAAATGACGTTTAATATACAGGGTGTTTCACGTAAGTAGTCCGTTAGAAGTTTCTGGGGAATCGCGAAAGTCATCGTTTTAAAATTTTAATAGCGTAAATTATTCGATTTAGACTTAAGTGTGCCACTAATATACGTAATTATATTATATACAGGGTGTTCCACATTCGTGGTCCATTATAAGTTTCTAGGGAACCGGAAAAAATATCTATTTGAAATTTTAAAAGAGTTTATAATCCATTTAAGTCTATTTTTCTAAATTATTTTGAACAAAATAGTACTTCCTGTTTTACCGGAAATGTCTTTAACTTTGTTATTACATTACATTTTTTATTTCTACATAAAATTCTGAATAAAATGGCTATACGATATCCTATTCCTAAAGTCAATATTTCTCGAGTTACTAATTTTTCAATCAAATATTTTAATTAATTTTAAACAATGGATTTGGTGGTAACCATGAATACTATCACATTAACCCACATGTATAATTTCACAGGTTTGTTGATACAAAATAGTAAGTATTAAAAATATTAGATATTGTTAAATGTCTCTGAAATTTTAACTTTGGGAAACAGTTATTATAATACCAATCGAAAGATTATAAACTGAACTGTCAAATTATATTTCATGCTATAATTGTAGGTTACCATAGAGAAAAGTCTATGATGCATACTATGATCAAAATTAGTAAAGTTGAAAAAATTTAAAATTTATAAATAAAAGTAATTTTAGCTCCATCTATGGCGACTTTTTAAAATAAATATGTAAGGATTGTGTGTTATATATAATATATTATATGTAATATATAATGTATAATATGTAATATACAATACATAATCTTATAAAACTAGATAAAAGAATATATACTTTGTAAAACACGTTAGTATTATGCCCTTTGAAGGCCTAACTTAAAAATGGTGTATCTCGTAGAAACATAATTTGCATATTAAAGTTTATATATCAAATAATAGTTAATTATCAGTACTTTCACGTGATATACTCAAAATTATAAAACAACGTTGCTTCTTCGACTTTTTAAGCCTTAAAAAATGGTAAAATTTGAAATTAAATTGTCCCCAGCGCCCCCTGTATGGTAAAATCTAAAAAAAATTATACGTGGATTTATTGCCACTAATAAGGTCTACATTTTATCTAAATTTTAAATCGATACGTTTTTAAATAAAAATGTTATTACAAAATATCAAAATTTATCTATTTTTAACACAGTAGAGTGACTTAAGGCCTAAAACCCACGGCGGTCAATGGATAAAATTTTTTTTTTGAAAAAAATGCACCATTTAGATGTAGAAACAGGGTTAAAAAATTATATTCAATTCTGGCATCACTTGCAAACAAAATTTGTTCGATTTTTACGCGAAACCATAGTTAACATCTACCTGTGTTACATAATAATAAACTAGGATCACATTCAGAAATACCTAATGGGGAAAAACCTAATCTGTTTATAGTTTGTATTTTATTTATTAAATATTATAAAAGTGTGAATATTTTATATAATGCTATTGTTATATGTTAATAAAATTAAAATAGATTTAAAAGTGGTGAATTATTAGTTTCTATTTGATCATTGAGAATATTATTAGTATTTTTGAGTTTATTAATTTCTAGAGATTCGAGTAGATTTAATTTAATACCTTTGTTTTCCAAATGTAATATTTTAAAGTTGTTATTAAAAGTATGGTTTTCTGTAATAAGATGTGATGCATAGGCTGAATCGACTTTTAGATTAATATATGACCTCCGATGTTCTTTAATCCTATTAATAAAACTACGGCCGGTTTGTCCTATATAAGTTTTAGGACAATCTGTACACGTTAATTGATGTTAAATGATTATCCTTACCTTGAATTCCAATATTTTTTGTTATATATAAGTTTTAGGACAATCTGTACACGTTAATAGATGTTAAATGATTATCCTTACCTAGAATACCAATATTTTTTGTTATATATATTTTGTACAATCTTTAGTTTTAATACATTCTGATGAAGCTACTGTGTAGCGAAACAGCTGTCAAAATTTAATAAATTTCGTGAAACTTTACAACAAAATTGTTTTTTATATCTACATAGTTATTATGGAGTTTCATCAAGTAAAGGTCGAAACAATTAATAATATAGATAAACTTTGTTTTTTAATACAAACTATATACAGAGTGAATAAAAGGCAAACATAAAAGTGTTTATAAAGTTTTTACCACGAAATTGAACCTTATATTTATGGTAACTTTCCAAAAATATTCAAATGGTGAAAAATCACGGCTTTTAGGGGGACATTTGCTTATTCTTGCCTCAGAGCGTATACGTCTTAATAAATTTCATATTTAAATGTAGAAAGTTTGTGTTTCATCTATGCATTTTTGAGTAATTACCTTTTATACATATTAAAGTAATTACTACGAATTAATACCATAATTTTGAATAATTTTTATATTATGATTTACAAAATTTAAATAAAATACAGATAGGGTTGGTTAATAAGTTTTAAAAAATAAAAAATAGGGCAAGTATCCTAGTTTTTGACGGGTAGAAAAAGTAGTGAAATTCTAGAAGAAGTATATCGATCGTTTTTTTATTTATCAACAATATTAATTTGGGTTTTATCGATACATACAATATTATTAAACTTCAGCCCGTGACTAAAACGCCATAAGTCAAGTTTGATACAAATTAGCCACGAGCAAGCTTGCCAGCAAGTGTTTAATTAAATGAGTGTAGAAAAGTTTATAAACAAATATAAAAATGATTTAAATTAAATATTCGTATAGAGCGCCATCTATACAAAAATAGAGTAACCATTCGCGTAAGAATGGGAATCTGTTACCGGCGGTCAAATCAAAATTTATCCCTTAAAAATGGACTAACAACCATTTAAATGATTTATTAGTTAAATCTAGTTTACTGCCGGCTACAGTATTATATAGGACCGTGCTGCCGGCAAAATCAAAAGGTCAGTATAAACGTGCATATAAACTTTTTAAATATTGGAGTTGAGAAACTATTTAATACTTTTGGATTTTTATATTGAGATAATAAAATAATTTTTACATTTAGTATTATTTCACAAGGGGCGCACTTTATTTTAAAGATTATATGACATTTGTCAACTGTCAACGTGACTAAAACGCCGTGAAGTCACAACAAATATAATCCAATTAATTTCTTTAATTGCTAATTTTTTTTTGTGAAATTCTTGTTTCGTTATTCATAAGGAAAATTTAAAATCGATTTTTATCGCATTCATACTAAGCGAGAAATGTACTGAAATACTGAAAAGTTTAAAGGAAACTAAATAAGAGCAAATAAAAAGTTAAAATAAATAAATATACAGGATGGTTTAAATTAGGTGTGTTAAAATTTCGTTCGGAAGATATACAGATACTTTGAAATATTTCTGCATCGTTTGGAAAAAAAATAAGATAAGTATAACAGAAGAAGGAAAAAACCAATTGTTGAAAAAAAAAAACATAAAATTTAGATTTACATTGAATATATAAATCTGATTCTGTTGCTTAATTCGCGCTATTGCTATGAGCAACCCATTAATTATAATTATTAGCTTAATTAATATTATTATAAAAATACATTTCTACATGTTAAATTTTGCAAACTCTCTATCGATGATTTTGGTTTAGTCCAACACAGAAATGCAGAAAATCATGAAATACGTTTTCTACACATACTGATTGTATTATAAAGATCTCTCAAGGATGTTAAAGAAAATAAACTATATTTAAAAAAACTATTTAATTTTTCTTTACTTTCACAACATTCTTTTTTGACTTGCCACACAAATACCTAAAACATCTTTTCACAACTAAACACAATCCAACGAAAAACAATAAAATATAAAAGTAAACATCCAACATATCCCTTTCGTACCACATCAACCTTAACACAGGCGATTTCAAATGTTCGGCCCCTTTGTATCTAATAACATGTTCAATCCAGTATATGGCGGTCTCCATGGGGGTCATAGGCTGATCGAGGAGAATAGCTTGCCTGGACTTGACATTTTTCTCGAATTCTGGAGTGTACAATATATGGTGGATAGACGAAAACAATGTATTTTCGTTAAGC